GAGCCATCAATGGACTGATCCTTTTTGGGCTGGCATGGGGACAGGTGGCAATGTCCCTGTGTTTCAGCAATGTTTGCAGAAAAAATGCTAGGACTTGTGACTCCTGGATTTCATTCCAGTCTCTAGACAAGTGTCTTTGTAGGGGCACAGACTTTTCTGCCCATTTTTAGTCAGAGTGCTTATGATTTGTTCATATTTGGCTGGATTTTCATGACAACATCTCTCACACAAAAGCCACTCCTATTCCAAAGTTCAAGTCCTTACTTCAAAGCATGGAACTGGTACAGCTTTTCAAAGGAAGGCTCCTCAGAGTTTAAGATTGGTAAAACAATGTATTTTTCCCAGCAGAAGAGTTTCAGCTGAAATTTTAAAAACAAATAAATGCATAAATCAAAATTTAGCCTGAGACAGACGCCCAGCATGGACAATTTCAACCAGAACATTTAAAGTTTGGCAAAGCTGTAAGAGACTGAAATCGTCTCATCATGTGAAGTGTGTGGCATGTTTCATCCAAGGCGATATTATCAGCTGTAAGTAATCCAGACTGTGCTTATAATTCAGAGACGTAGATGTTGGGAAGGAGAAAACTATTTTAATAGGTCAATTAGTACAATGTCCCAGCCTGAATTGAACTGTTGAACAAAACCCCACAAAACCTAGTTTCAACTTCAGCCAATGTCTTAACACTGAAGTTCCCTGAAACACAAGGGAATCATTTAGCTACTGGTAAATAAATTTAACTATATGTTGCTGAATTTCCTCAAGACAGACTGTTCAGTGAATACAGCATTACTCTGGTTTCATGCATTGAAAGATTCTGCATTGACTTGATGGGCTAGAAATTTCCCTATGAAACGTGAAATAACTCAAGGGGACTTTTTTTCTTGTTAGTGACCATTTATAGCATTAAATAACAAAACAAATTGTAATATTTTTAAGTTATAAAAATATCCTGCAAGTCTTTAAAGTAGATGTCAGCTGGCTGTACCTACAAGGAGTTAATCTGTCCTCAGTACATTATGATCTTTAATAATTGGGAATGATTGACCAAAGTGCTGTAAACCTGACAGAAATTTGTTGCCTGATTTTCTGCAAACCACAAGCGCAGCTTATTAATTGAGACCTGAGCATTAATTGGCATTAGCTTGCATCTGTAAACTGCAAAAGAAAAATGACCTTGGCAAACATGCAGCTGTGAATGGTGGAGCTGCAAAGCTGCAACAGGTAAAATTGGGTTTTAAGCGCAAACACAAAACAGTTTGAGCTGGCTGCTGGCAAATGCCCAGGTCTAGGGTTTTTAATGAGGCTTCTGCATCAAAATAAGTGAAGCCACATGGAATTTTAATTGTTCTTATTCTAAATATGAAACACACTGGAGCAGTATTCTTGAATCTGGGATGTTAGCATATATATTGGCATATTAACATGACCACTTTTCTGTTCTAAACATTTAGCTCTCAGAAAACTGGAGTGCCAGGCTATGTTAGGAAGGAATCAGCCTGGAAGATTTAAAAATAGTTTAACCTGGACTCATTCAGATGTAAAATGTTTAGGTTTTTTTTTTCAAAAATACACCTTTTTCTATTTTTTTTTTTTTGTTATTGTTAAGCCCAGTCAGCTGATGAGACTGTTTAGGAGAAGATCAGTTGCTGTGCTCTTCGATGTGTCCCTCTTTCTGGTGGCACAAAATAAAGTCTATTTTCTTCATACAAGAGTTGTTTTGCAATGTGGTGCCCATGATGTAGAGCAGAGGGTCTGTGCTTCACCCATTTAGTGCAAGCTATCACGAGAGTGGGAATTCACAGATGCAAATGGTTTTCTTGATCTGACAAAGGAAAAATTAGCATAGAATTTTAATCCTCCTGGGGAGAGGAATAAATAAATTATTATAATATTATAGTTATTATATTATGAATTGTATACTTGCACTGTCATGTTACTATCTTGCTGATCCACGTCACTGTGCACAGCTAGATTTACAAAGATGGGTGCCATACCCAGTAGAACTACTTCTCTTCCCAGCCCAGCAAAGAGCTTAACATGTATAAATGAATAGGAATCTGGGGTTTCCAAGTTCAAACCAAAATCAACCTTAACATAAGGAGGTAGCACAGAGAAAAGAGGAGGAGGAGAGTGAAAATGCATCAGCAAGATGGAACAGCAGTTAGGATGGCAAGAAGCTGAGGTTTAGAGCTGACTTTTTAGTAAGTTTGCCTTAGAAATGAGACTTTAAAACAGAGAACTCTTTCTGATCTTTAAAAATGATTTTACATAATGGAGATACAATAAGGCTGGGAACAAATCGCAGCCCTGTGCAGGGAAATATGGAGACAGCAAAAGACACTTGGGCAAAAGGGGAGTTGGAGAAGTGAGTATGCAGGAGCTGTGCAGACACAGCCATGAGTGAGATAAGACAGGGTTATGGTTGTTTGGCCTCTGGGTAAATACGATTGTGCTTTACAAGCAACAGTAAAAACAAACAAGTGTGGATTTACTAGGGTACATAAGGAGGTCTGCAGCCCCACATTTGAAATGCCTAGGTGTGGTGTGCACATTCCCAGTCATTCCACACAGACATAATCTCTTGGCAGCACCATGCAGATAATATTTGGATCTAGCTCTGAAAGGGAGGTTGCCTTTTAATGTGTAAAACTGTGTGGTGACCTTTGTATTAAGAAAAAAAAGAGTATTGGTTGCAAAGAAACCAAAAATACCAATGCTCTTCTACACCCTTAGACTCATACCAATTCCACCTTTGATTGTAAAAGCCTTGTTTAGCTTCTATCAGGGTAAACCAAGAGCAACTCTGTTCATGCTGGGAGAATTGCAATAACAATAAATAAAAATAAAAAAAAAAAAAAAAAGAAAGAAAAGAAAAGAGAATAAGCAGTAGCAGATTGAAACTCAGTATTTTGAGCAGCTGGGGAAATTATGTTCTAACCTTATATTTCCAGATACGTATCAGACCTGTTCACAATATAAAGGATAGTGTTCCAAAATTACAGCTTTGAATCTGGGTGGTATTGCCTCTGGCTATTGTTTGCAGTTGGGAACGAAAGAAGTTGCATCAAGTAGTAAAGTGTTTGCTGTAAAGGTACAAGTTATATTACATTCCAGGGAGCTGTGGTTGGAGGGGTTGATGATGGAGACAGACCCATTCACCCACAGGTCACTGATCAGCCCCAGATAAAGATAATAGTTATCACATTGTCATCAGAGTTTGGAATGGGCTTTTACTGCCCACTTATAGTTCTGTGCTTAATATTGTTAGAGATAGAGGATTATAATCCCCAGGTTTCAGGCTGATTTGGAGGCTTGGCTGGCTGTGGGCCAGGTCCTCCAGCCTGAACCCAAACTGCACCTGAGCTTTGCCCCACTGCTGCTTTTAGATATCACTGTAGGCATGGGTTCACTGAGCTGGGAGAACAGGCCAGAATAGTGATCTAAATTCTAAAATGTGCCACACAGGGTGGCAGCGGCTATGGGGTCTGTTGCTTACAGCAGAGTGGACCAGGAACAGAAGGGCTGGAAAGACCTTTCTTTTACAAAGCAATGTCAGTCTACAAGGAAAATCATTGCTTCATCTTAAACTGAGGATACACAGAACGTTTCACTGTTTAGCACATCAGTTTGGCATCTAGAAGATGCCATGTTTTCCTTTTAGTTAAGTCAGGTTCAGCAGACTGACAAAGAGGTGAGTGAACCCTTGGATCTGGAGGGCTCTAAAGCTGTAGGAATGTCAGCAGGAAGTGCAGGAAGGGTCCATTTGATTTCATAATTTTCCCCCTTTATTTACACCCTGCTCTTTTCAGCTCTCTATAAATGTATGTGTCTGCTGCATACTGGCCATTGCAATTGCCTCCTCCTGCTCTGTACTTCCTCATTAGGCTTTCCCTCTTTCCCCCTGTCCTTTTCCCACACCCTCTTTGTTTTCCACTCTTCTGGCTCTCAGTACGAGCTTTCACCATCTTTGTCTTCTGCTCCTGTCCATCCCACAATCTCCTAAGCACATCACCAAGCTAACGTTTGCTTTTCAGTTCTGCTCCAAAGCTTTGGGTGTTTGATGTGGGATTAGAAATTAGGCAAAATGAGTTTACCCATCCCTGTTTTGCGTTAGACTCCAATTCACAGTGTTACCATCCAGACGTTCACAGTAGTCATAAACTGTGTGGTCTTTTTTTTTTCAACCAGACTGCAGAGACTACATACGAAAACAAATTTTTTTTCAATGGCAAAAAAGAGTGTTGGGCTTGTAATTTTCCATCAACTTCTCTGAAGAGTAAAATCTGCATTTTTTCTATCAGCTTAATGGCCTTGTCCATCCTTCGGATGCAGCAAACTGATTTTTAGCCAAGGGAAGCAGCTGAGTGGATTCTCACCTAAATAAATTGATTTAAGGCAAGAAGTGGGTCTTAGTCACCCCCAGTGTAACTCTCCTGGTGTCAGTGGTGCAGTTAACTTGGCGTTGCCAGCTCTTGTAGCTTTACTACAAGTTGCAAAGTGATTTCTGCTTTTCTGGAAATCCCAGCTCCTGACAGCCTGTGCTGAGGTGGGAATCTCAGCTTTCGTGTGCAACCAGACCTGAGTTTCTCAAGAGGTTCGAGCAAAAAAACAGAGACACATGACCCTCAAAACTCTGAAACCAGAAGGCAAATCAACTCCAAGTCCACCTTTCTTTTTTGGCTCTTTTTCAATCTCTTGATTTTTGAGATTTTTTTTTTTCTTCAACCTGACTCATGACCTTTGAGCACTTCAGGTTGGCAATGCTGCTCCCTCCATTGGCATCAGTGGAGTTAGACCAGGGATGAGTTTGGCCCAGCACTTCCAGAAGACAGATATATGACTCTGTTCCTTGCAATGTGTTGCTTGATATGATCTGCTGTTCTCTTGGGGGCCAAAAGAAGTGGGTTATCTTAGAAAAATAAAATTCTATCATCACGTGATACAAAAAATGGTATTTACAGAATTGTTTTCCCCCATCTTTTGTTATAATTTTTTAGGTGCTTCAGAGCTGGGCCCATTTTCAGATCCCAGGCAGTTCACAAGCATTTCATCCCTCACTGAGAGCCGCTTCTCCAACCCACGAATGCACTATCCAGCCACCTTTACCTATACACCGCCAGTCACCTCAGGCATGTCACTGGGTATGTCCGCAACCACTCACTACCACACCTACCTACCACCACCCTACCCCGGCTCTTCCCAAAACCAAAGTGGACCTTTCCAGACCAGCAGCACTCCATATCTCTACTATGGCACTTCGTCAGGATCATACCAGTTCCCCATGGTGCCGGGAGGGGACCGCTCCCCTTCCAGGATGCTCCCGCCGTGCACCACCACGTCCAACGGCAGCACACTGCTAAACCCTAACTTGCCCACCCAGAGTGACGGGGTGGAGGCGGATGGCAGCCACAGCAGCTCCCCAACCGTCTTGAATTCTAGTGGCAGGATGGATGAGTCCGTTTGGAGGCCGTACTGAGATTTCTTCTGTAGCCGGCCCGACCTCCGCAAGCCAAAAAAAAAAAAAAAAATCCACCAAACCACCAAACGGTCGACTAACTACGAAGTGCCTGTTTTTTGTTTATTTTTTTTTAAAAAACAGATTTTACCAATATGTGCAACTGTGTAGATGGGATGATAATGGCCATAAATAACACAAGAGTTACCAACATACCACAACCCATGTTTCAGATTATGTGAATCAAAGCACATATTTTCTTTTTTTTTCCCCCCTTGGAAGCATTTTACCTTGTTTTATATTTAAAATGTACTTTCTACACACACACACACACACACACACACACAAAATCACCCCCTCCTTTTTTTTTTCTTTTTTTTTTTGGAATTTTTCCTTCTAATTTTTTTCCCCTAGAGTTTTGTAATAACTAGTGAGTACTTTTGCCAACAAGGAGAGAATGGACTCCCCGGCTATCAGGAGAAGCATGGTGATGCAAGGCAAAGGCTGCATTCCCTTTTATTGTAATAGAAAACCAAAACTAACCATGAACTCCAGATACAGTTGCAATCATACAATGTATGGGACCCTCTCCACACCTGTAGTGCAATTCACCTGGTTTGTATTGGTGCACATAAAAAGGAAAGCAAAGAGCAAGTTGCTTCCATTTTGCTATGATCCATTCAGACGAAAACAGCTGTCCCAAAAAACTCTGTCCGAGCCTTGCTGCGGATAACGGTTGGAATTTCTGTGTTCATTGCTTTCTTGGTTTGTTTTTGGGTACTTAAAGAGAATGAGTTTTCAAGTTAGGTGAGCCAACCCCGGGGTTTCCTTTTTGCTTTTGTATCTGTTCATTTTGCCTTCGATTAGCCAAAAACCAAAAATAATAACCAAAACCTTGAAAAACAAAAACCAAAATGTTATTACTTATGCAAAATATGAAAATGGCAATATATATTACTAGAGCCAAAATGGTATACATAGTATTTGTGTTCGGCTATGTTCTTTTTTATTTTTTTTTTAAATTATAAATGTGTAAAATTTGAGGTTGTTTGCTAACATGAATCATCATTTAAGTTTAAAAGAATATTTATAATTATTTAATGACATTTGGACCCTTTAAACGTTTCTTAATGTAATGATATATTGACTTCGGTCTCTAAAAGTGCTTTTTGTTTTGTTTAGTTTTTTTTTTATTACATTTCTGCAATAGTGTAAACCTCAGACCTTTACCCAACTCTGAAAAGCAGTTCCAGTGTGAACCAGTTTACAATGTGACTTAAAAACAACAAACCCAACCTAAATGCATCCACATCAAATGATTTGGGATGCAGGATCTTTTTATATAACTTATGAAGGAAATATTGTGTTTAAAATATTTTTATTAGCTGTCTGGTTGCCTTCAACACAGTCTTGCCTTTTAATCAGTAGTTGTGGAGACACTGGAAAAATGGTAGGAAGGATGAAATATTTTCCACCCTTCCCCTAATTTCTTCTTCTCCAAGGATTTTTTCTCAGAACTTCAAAATTTGAAAAGATTCATATTTAAAATGGTCTATTTTGACAGCAAAATTTGGATTTCGACAGGGTTGGTTTTTTTTTCCCAAAGAAAAATCAAAACCGTTTCAAAGCTCGTATTTTGCAAATGATGAATTGTTGAATATCTCAGAAGTGGGATTAAGGGAGAAATGGTGAAACATTTTCCCCTCCCCTTGCAATTTCAGCCCACTCGGTGGAATTAAAAGTTTTCAAACTTGAGACAGAAACTGCCTGGTAGCGAGTCACCACCCGTTAGCATTAAATGCGGGAGCCGTGCAGATGCTGTGGTGGCTCCGAAGCTCATGTGGCTGTTGCCGTGTTAGAGGGACAAGCACGAGGGCAGCAATACTCACCTCTGCCCACACAGAAGACACAAACTCACCCTCAAAGCCACCCTGGGGCTACCAGGGGTGGTACAAGCAGCACCCAAACCCCAACCTGTCTGTGGCCAAGCTACCCCGCAGAGAAGCCCCAGTTTTGCCCAGCCCAGGGCTGCCATGGCATGCAGGGAGGTGGCATGGCATTGGCTGGACATGGTGGGAGCTGAGTCATCCTCCCCACGCTCTCCCCAGGCAGGTGTTAAGCCTGGCTTAGTGGGATGTTCAGCACGTGCCAGTGGGCTTGGCCAAAGCTCCCTCCTTCCATTGCCTCAGTCACCGCTGCCCACAGCCTCCTCCAAGCTGTTCCTTGGGTGATCTTTGGCTACCTCCAAAGTATGGCAGCAAATCAACATTGGGCACAGCCACACAGAGCCGGACACCACCACCACTGCTCATTAGCAGCGAAGCTGTTAACGAGCTGCCCTTAGCATGGTACAGCCCTCCAATCTGCGTGATGACGTGCTCTTAAAAATAATAAATTAATAAAGTCTTTGCCTTCTAAAGGTTGTATACCAAGTATGCTTAAAGTATAAGTAAGACACTTTGTTTTTCTTCTAATACTTAGTTTTCCTTCAAAGATGGAAGCTGTAATTGATTCTATTTATTGTTGGTTTGTGGTAGCTTGAAGCATACCACTGTCCATTTATTTGTAACTGTAAAGTAACGTTTGTTAGTCTCAGCAGCACTTAAAAAACCAGTGTCTGGTTACACATTTCAGTTTTGTTTTTTGTTTAGTAAGCAAGAGAAAAAGAGATGTACTGCCAGTGCAAGCTGTTTCCTATTTAATAAAAGGTACTATATTTGTACATTATTTGTTATTGCTGAGAAGGGCTTTTTAAGGTTTACTGTATGCATATTAAGTAATTTTTAGGGTGCTTTTGTGTCGAAATGTTGTTAAGAGTGGCTGCAGGCAGCAACCCAGATTTTCTTTTTTTTTTTCCTTAAGACTTTGTTGTAAAATTCAAGCACTTGGTTTTTGTTTCTGGATAAATCCAGCACAGACCAGACTTTTGTTTTGCCCAATACCAACAGGACTCTGTTTGTGTCCCCGTGGTTTTTCAACTGGACCTTTAGGGACAAACGTTGAAAACGTTTTCTCCACCCAGTCAAGGCACGCATGCCTGATCAAGTAGATCAGTGCCCTAGTCTGACCTGGCTCTGCCTGCTTGAGATAGGAAGGAAAGGATTTTCTAGGTACCTGTGGACAGAGGAGGAGCACCAGCCCCTTGACTTTCAGTAGATCCCCAAGCTCCTGAACCCTCCTGGTGCCTTTAGAAAATATGTCCCAGTACATCAGGCTGGTCGTGGAGGGAGTCGTACAGGCTGAGGCAGAGATGTTCATCAGAGCTTTCAGAAAATGCTTTCAAGTTCACTTGGAAATGCTCTTGAATCAGATTTTCAGACCCAACCGGTGCTATGTAGTGAATCATATCAATTTATCTGAGCTTTTGTGAGGTGCTTGGCATTGCAGAACAGAGTTTTCTCAAAGGTACGACAGCCCTTCCCCTCGGGCAGTGGCAATCTTTGGCACCGGTCATAGACTTAAAGAAAAAAAATTGCCTTTTTTTTACCTTCCAGCTTCTTATCCTACCAAAGACTTACAGCACAACAGGCACAATGTCCCTTTTGCTGAAAGAAGGATTAAATCCTCCTCTCCCTCCTTCTGAGGGTAACCAGATTGGGTGCAGTGGGTTGGGACAGAAGAGTAAAGGAAATTATTTATCCAACAGCATCATTCACGTGGCGTTTATCATTTCCTTTAAAAGCCCAGCTGCTGTGTCTTTCTTAGCTTTGAACCTTTGTTGCCAGCAGTCCCCTAAGCAAAGATTTACCAGTTTCCACAGGTACCATCTGGAGTGGGGAGAATTTTTGCACTTTCACCCTAAGCAAAGCAAGGCTCAGTGCCACACTGGGCTGCAGCAGCAGCAGCAAGCCATGAGCAAAAGCAATAATTAAACCTGGATCAGCCATGAGCTCAAAGAAGTCCCATTCTCTGCCCCCCTGAATTTCTTGTTGTTTTTAAATAGAATGCATTTCAGTTTAACATTTTCTGAGAACTTTTTTTAGATGTTTGTTTACTTCCATGTTTACAGATAACTCTTTGCTTTTTTTTAAATGCAGTACTTTTAAGTATATCAGCCAAAACCATACTTTTACAGTAACTTTAGGTAATATGAGTGACATTCCAATTTTTTTTTGTTGTTAAATATGCTTTACCAATCTTGAATTTCCGCTGGAACAAAATATTTGTAGCATTTTGTGTAAATACAAGCTTTAATTTTTTATTTTTTCAAATGCTGTCACCCAAGATTTGCTTTTCATGCACATATTGTACAAACACTCTGCTTTATGCCACAGACAATGATTGTGGATCAGTTTACTTCAACTTCAAAGGGACTATTTGTATTGTATGTTGCAACTGTAAATTGAATTGTTTGGCATTTTCTCATGATTGTAATATTAATTTGAAGTTTTAATTTCATTTTCAATAAAATGGCTTTTTTTTTTGTTAACGTTCTTCTATGCTTCTTTTTCCTCCTTGTCTCTTCTTGGCACCAGGCACAGTAAAGCAAGCACATGGTAGGACATGGGACCAGGCCGTCTGTGGCTGACCCATCAACTTCTGCAGCATTTCAGTTTTCAACTAAATTTACAAAGCAAGTTTCCAGGCCCTTGGGTGGTGAAAGAGACCTTCTAAACCTGATCTCAAATGTTGCTTCTTTTCCTGAGCCTGCAAATTATTGAAAGTTGTGTTTCTTAGAGGAGTGCAAACTGCTCTTGTTCATCTTAGTAGGCCACTAACTCTGGAACTGAACAACTGGCATTACCCAGGACATTCCCAGGGAAAACTGAGATAGATTTCTAAAATGGGAGGGAGTGATTTGGATTTGTGATGCTTTTCCATGATGGGGGTTGAGCTATCACCACCACCTCTTCCTGGTCAGACCTGAGGAATGCAGTCCCAGATAATCTTGTGATTTGCATAGCCTGAGGCAAGAATAGTTTTCAAGCAGCAGAAGATGTATGGACTGGGAGGGGACTGAGGGAGGAGGCTATTTTTCCTCCAGCTTAGTGTCAGGTGTAGGAGGAGATGCAGCTCATAAA